GCAGCTTCCCAGGGGCCCCGGCGCCCGGGGACAGGTGCCCGCTTACCTGGCCAGGGTCAGGCCGATGCCATTGTCAGCGAACCTGGGGACGGAGGCAGATAGTCAGAGCGCACTGGCCGGTGTGGCTCAGTGGGTAGCGCGTGCTCTCCTTGCCCCGCACCCCCCTGGGCCCTGGAGCCACTGCAGCTACTGTGTGAGGGTTGAGGGGGGGGATCTGGACCTGAGCTTGGGGTTCCCTGAGGGAGCTGGGATGGCTCAGGCCCCACCCACTCAGCCTGGCTCCACAGAGAATGAGCGACAGCGTGTGCCTGGGCGTCAGGCGTGGGGAGACAGGCTCCCTGGGGCCTGCGTCTCCCGCCCCCTCCCCGGCTGGAGGAGGCTCCTCGCCGGATCTGGATGGGGGTGCAGGCCCTGGCCGGCTTCTCCTTGTGCCTGCACCCCCCGCGGTCCCCCTCCTCGTCCACTGGGCCCCGGGGCCTCACAGACTCTCAGGGCTGTGTCCCCGCCCCCCCACACACACACCTGGGGGGGCCTGGGAAACCGGCCACTCCTCCTGCCTGCTTTTCCCAAGCCTGGGGCCCTGTCCGCTTCCCCTCCCTCCCTCGTCCTAACTGTTAGGGCTCCTCTAAGGCAGCGGTTCTCAACCTTCCTCACGCGGCCCTTTAACACAGCTCCTCACGCTGTGGGGACCCCCAACCATAACATTATTTCCGTGGCTACGTCATCGCTGTCATGTTGCTACTGTGATGAATCGTCATGTAAATACCTGATCTGCAGGATGGATTTTCATTGTTACATGGAACATCATTAAAGCATCGTGATCAATCACAAAAACAATATGTAATTATAGGTGTGTTTTCCGATGGTCTGAGGCGACCCCCGTGAAAGGGTCGTTCGGCCCCCCAAGGGGTCGTGACCCCCAGGTTGAGAACCGCTGCTCTAAGGGGTCACGGGGGAGTGGGGCAGCACGGGTCTGTCCTGGGAGGCTGTCCCTTGGTCCTGTCCTGCGGGGGCTGCACGCTGTCCACGGGACCTCGCCCCCCAGCTCCCTTCTCAACGGCCTCCGGGGCGGGGAGCTGCGGTTTCGGGTCCCAGGCCAGCACCTCCTGGTTTAGGGGGATTCGCGAAGCCCAGCCTGGGGACCCTCCCTGAAATAAAGGCGGCAAGCTCGACCTTTGAGAGTCATGGTAAGAAACGAAGGCGACCGAGGACACAGCACACAGTGGGTGCTTTTGAGAGGGTGAACAACG